GTCATGGGCGGGGTGTGTGGGGAGTGGGGTGGGGAGTTGTGCTCTGTGATGAGGAAGTTTGACATAAAGACACGTCCCAGGGGCGTTTCTGGTCCGCAAAGGTGTTTCTGGTCCCCACCTGCTGTTTTGCTCCTCAGCATGGCTTCATAAAAACACTGCAGGATTTCTCAAACATGATGAATGAGTCAGAGCAAGGCTTTGGACATGTTTTTTATGAGAGGATAACATTATAACATGATATAAAACTCAAACAAGTTGGTTTTACATGATGTTGCCCCTTTAAGATTAAACATGAAACATGAAATAAAATAACAACAAGCTATATTTACATTAGATTTAACCACACGTAGATTTGCACAGTTTATAAGGCCACAAAATTCATATTTGATCAATTTATGAAATGTCCCAAATGAGCATTTGCTCAAGTGCACAAACTAAAACAAAAGCAGGCCACCGCTCTGGCTGCTAGCTGTTAAAAATACTTAAAAAGTATTTGTATTTCATGTATTATATTATGTATTAATTATGTATACATTACATTTGGTCCACAGCCCTGGATAGAATTTCATTTTGGCCCTCTCCAGGAAAAAGTTTGGGCACTGCTGCTCTGATCAGTATCCATAATGTGAAATATATAATGTGCAATAACAACTGTGTTACACCATATGCAAATCCTTTTACACTTTATTTTATTAGTTTATTTTTCTGGTGTTTTTATATTGTGTTTGCACTGGAAAAGAGTGTCTTCTAATCTCATTGTACGTGTGTGTAGTGAGAATAAATCATTCTGCCTCTTCTGTTCAGTCCCTCGCGGGAGTGAAACGGCCTGGCTCTACAGCTCCGATGAGGGCAGGAGGCAGCTGGCAGCCAGCGCTAACTTTCGGCGCCTGGTTATTGCTTCGATGCACAGGAATCAGGAGTACGCAGACATGCAGGCCGTCCAGTCAGAACTCTCACCTGTGGTGATGGACCTGGCTCCGCCAGGTATGCCCACCAACCAGCAGGTAACTACACACACACTGTGAACATGTGGTACTGATCATCTTCATTCTGCAGTATATGGTATATAACAGAGAAACCACTGCTTATGAGCATTTCCATGCATAAAACCAGAGATTTGCTGCTCTGAGCAGCAGGACTCACAGGATGAGTTTATCTCTTATTACAGTGAGGTGTGTAAGTTTGGGCAGCCTTGTTAATTTTCCTGATTTACCTTATAAATCATTGATTGTTTGGATTTAAAAAATCAGTTAAATATATCAAATAGGGGACAAACACAGTGATATTTGAGAAGTGAAATGAAGTTTATATGATTTACAGAAAGTGTGCAATAATTGGTTAAACTAAATTAGGCAGGTGCATAAATTTGGACACTGTTTTTGGTTTGGTAAGTTCAGTGACCCTTGACCTCCATACACAGGTGACTCCAGTTATGAGAAA